TGTCCAGTGTGAACATGTTGGTGTGACACTAGCTTACGTGGCTGAGGGAATACTTTCCCATAGTCAGACCAGGTCAACGTCCACTCCCTAGTGTGAACACGGAGCTGTTCATTGGGGCTCAGTGATTGCCTGAACATCTTCCCACAGAGAGCTGACAAATGATTTCTCTCTGGTGTAAACTCAACAGTGTAACATTAGGATGGACGATGAAGTTAATCCCCTCCCACACACACAGCAGATGAATGTTCTCTCTCCAGTGTGAACCTGATTGTCTGACATTGTGCTGGACCGTGAAGTGTATCCCTTCCCAACACGGAACAGATGAAGGTTATCTGCCCGTGGTGAAGACGTTTGTGTGACATTAGGCTGGATCCCCAAGTGAATTCATTCCCACATGAGGAACAGGTGAATGACTTCTCACTCGTTTGAACAGGTTGATCTTGAATTAGACCTTGAGAGCTCTTAAAGCTTTTTCCACAATCAGAGCTTTTAAAAGGTCTCTTCACAGTGTCAACCTACTGACGTGGCACAAAGCTGGGATAAACCAGCATTTCCCTTCCAATACACAGAGTAGGTGAAGTCACTCCCCAGAGTGACTGTGTCCATAAGCTTCCAGCTGGCCTCGGTATTTGTATCCCTTCCCACAATCCACACATTTCCATGGTTTTTCTATGGTACTGATCTCCTAGCATCTCTTCAAGTTGGATGATCTGTTGAATCATTGACCATACATACAAAGTGTGTATGGTTTCTCTGCACTGTGGATTTTCTTTTTTTCAGAGTGTTAACTGGATAATGTTAAGAAATTAGTGTTAAGAAAGTTACTTCACTGGAACATTTGTGTGTTTTGGTGCTTTACCACTCACACTGATGTTAGAAATCTTTTCCTACAGACAAAAGATTTTCTTTCAGGTCCTGATGAATTGAGTGACTGTTGGATCTTGATATTTTGTTTGATTTGACTCTTCAAATTCTTTCTTGATATTACTCTGTGAAACAATTCACAAATATCATTACTGTCTGTACAGGGTAAAATCTCAGAACAAACAAATCGAGTTTCTGACAAACATTTCCCCTCTGTTGTATATCCCCTCCCAAACATATGATCCAATCATACTAAAAAATGCAAAAACCATCACAAAAGCAGAAGGAACATTCCTGACTAAACCAGGTTGTTGATCCCAGTTTCTAAGAGACATCTTGTGTATCCTGAGGTGCCATCTTATGGTGGGAGGTACCTAGCCAACTGGGGGACACAACAAGCTCCCTGTCCAGAGGCAGGTCACCCAAGAGAGGTGATACACTTTGCTGCTATTGTGCATCAATCATGAAGAAAGTGAATGATGAAACCGGTGGGCAATCAAAAGCGCTGTTTTGTACCAGATGGTGCCAAGCTTCTTGAGCATTGTTGAAGCAGCAGTCGTCCATACAAGTGGAGATTATTCATATCACACCTGATTTATGTCTTGTAAATGTTGGACAAACTTTGGGCAGTCAGGAAATGAGTTGCTCCCTGAAAGATTTCTAGCCTCTGCCCTGATCTTGTAGCGACTGTATTGGTTAGCCCAGTTCAGTTTCTGCTCAATGGTAACCCCCAGGATGCTGGTAGCAGAGGATTCAACAATGGTAATGCCATTGGATGACGAGGAGTGATAGTCAGATTCTCTCATGTTAAAGATGGCCATTGCCAGGCACTTATGTGACATGGCTGTTACTTACCACATATCATGCTGATTTTGTCATGCGGTGCAGGTCTTACTTTAGACGGATATGTGCAACTTCAGTATCTGAGCTAACATCCCCAATTCTGAAGGGAAAGTCGTTGTTGAATTTGAAGGTAGATGGGCCAACGACTCTACCCTGAGGAACTCTATTCTGGCAGAGAAGGCCTGGACTCTCAAGTCCGACCTGCTCCAGAGGTGTGACATAACGCGTCTGAACAGGTTGATTACAAAATATTCCCTGCAGAGAAATCCTGGGATTACAGTAGACTGTTGTTTGTCGCAAACATCACCTGTGCGTGAAGCTGCTGAAAAGGGTATGGCCCAGGGCGCTGCACCTCCCGGGCACTAGGTTCTGAAGAAGATGCACATGAGATTGATTCTGTTAGTTCTGTTTTCTCGCTGCACAGGTACTGCCAGACCTGCCGACATCCTCCAGCACTTTCTGCTTTGGTCCCATATTTGCCGCATCTGCAGGATTCCCACTTAAATCCCGCACCGCCCCGTGACGTCATTGGACCGCTAGCGCATGCGTCCAGTTCGGGCCAAGGTGGTGGCTGTTGACCTAGCAGTGTTCACGGGGAGAAGATTGAAACTGGAGACAAGCTTCTTTTTCAAGGTGCCCGCCTCTCGTTCGAGCGGTTTATGAAACCTCTGGGTCCATTCTCCGGCTCCATCCCTCCCTCCCTCCGCTTTCTGGCTCTTACCATTTGCGAAGGAGCGTCCCTTCCAATCGCCATCACTTCCACTGCGCAAATCGCGCCGGCACTGCGCTTGTGCCTCCGCTTTCTTGTGGTGTGGATGTTTTGGCTTAGTTAGTAAATAAACACAAGGCAAGGTATCCCAGTCCCACAGAGTGCACATCAGTTCCGTGTGCGAAAACCAGGATAAGTGGAGTCACAGCACAGAAACAGGCCCTTTGGTCCAAATCATTCATGCTGAACAGGTTTATGAAACTGAACTAGTCAACCATTTGCCTGTGTTTGCTTCCATCTCTGTATAACTTTCCTATCCATGTACTTATCCAATTTTTTTGTTAATGATGTAATTGCACCTGCCTCTACCACTTCCTCTAGCAGCTCATTCCATATATGCACCACCCTCTGTTTGAAAAAGTTGCCTCTCAGGACACTATTACATCTTTCTGCCTCACCTTAAACCCACGCTCTCTAGTTCTGAAATCCTCCGCACTGGAAAAAAGACCTTGGCTGTTCACCTTATCTATGTCCCTTGTGATTTTATGAATCTCTGTAATGTCACCCCTCAGCCTCCTATACTCCAGGGAGAAAAGTCCCAGCCTATCCAGCCTCTCCTTTATAATTCAAATATTCCAGTCTCGGCAACATCTCATTAAATCTTATTTGTTCCCTTTCTAGTTTAAGAACATCCTTCCTGTACAGGGGGACCAGAATTGTAAGTAGTACTTCAAATGTGGCCTCACCAATATTTTGTACGCTTAGAACATGATGTCCCAACTCCCAAATTCTCTGCTGTGATCAATGAAGACGAGCATGCCAAGTGCCTTTGTCATCACCCTGTTGACCTTTGACACCAGGGACACAATTCTTGTGACTGATGAGAACACCTGTCTGACCACAGTTGAAGTGTTACTCAATTCTGGTCCCCGTACTCCAAGGTAGATGTGATCACACCAGAGGAAATCAATGAGAATGGTTCCAGGATTGGAGAATTTTAGCTCTGAGGTAAGATTGGATAGGCTGAGGATGTTTTCTGTGGAACAGAGAAGACTGAGGTGAGATTTCATTAAAAGTATAATATTGTGGGAGTCCCAATTAAGTGGATAGGAAGGAGCTATTCTTTAACAGTGAGGTCATTACTGGAAGTTTTAGATTTAAAGCAATTCACAGAAAGAGGGGGAGAGCAGAAATCTAGAGATGTTGGGGAGCTAGAACTCTCTTACTGATAAGGTTGGTAGATGCAGAAACCCTCATCATGTTAAAATGAAAGAACATGTAAGGGGAATAGGTAGGCGTTTCTGTGGCCACAAATGAGAGTTCAGGTTGGTGTGTTGCTTCCCTGATGCTAGGGTCCTGGATGTCTTGTAGCAGCTGCAGGACATGGTTTTTGGCAGGGGGTGGGGGGGCATTGCTACAAATGACATAGGTAAAAAATGGGACGAGGTCCTAAAAGCAGAATACAGAGAATGAGGAAGAAAGTTGAAATGCAGGACCTCAAATGTATTTATCTGAGACTTACAACCAGTGCCACAAGCTAATCAGAGTAGAAACAGCAGGATATATAGGATGAACACATGGCTAAAAAGATGGTGTGATGGGAAGGGTTTCATATTTGTGGGGCATTGGGACCAGTTCTGGGGGAGGTGGGACTTGTACAAACTGGATCGGTTACACCTGGGCAGGACTGGGACTGATGTCCTTGGGGGGATACTTGGTAGAGTGGTCGGGGAGGGTTTAAGCTAGTGTGGTAAGGGGATTGGAACCAAAGGAGTAGGGTAGTAGATGCAGAAATTGAGAGGGAGGTAGAAAACATGGCAATCATTACTAAGAACAAGAACAGGTAGGAAAACACTGCTGAAAAGAGCAGGGGAGATGGTCTGAGATGCACGTGTTTCAACGCGAGAAGTACAATAGGCAAGGTAGATGAACTTAGAGCTTTGGTTTGTACTTGGAACTATGACATTTTTATGATTACAGAGACTTGGCTGAAAGAGGGACAGGACTGGCAGCTGAGTATCCCAGGTTTCAGATGTGATAGAAAGGGAGGTAAAATAGGTGGGGGAGTTGCATAACTGGTAAAGGAGTATCTCACAGCTGTACTGAAGGAGGATACATTAGACAACTCATGCAGCAAGGCAATATGTGTAGAACTCAAAAATAAGAAAGGTGAAATCACAATGCTAGGGGTATACTACAGGCCTCCCAACAGCCAGTGGAATATCGAGGAGAGAATATGTAGACAGATTTTGGAAAGATATAAAAACAGCAGGGTTGTTGTGTTGGGTGATTTTAACTTCCCCTCTATTGATCGGGACTCACTGTGCTAGGGGTTTGGATGAGGCAGAATTTGTAAGGTCCATTCAGGAGGGATTCTTGACACAATATGTAAACAGTCCAACCAGGGAAGGGGTTATATTGGACTTCAGTAAGGAATTAGAAAAGCTAAAATGGGGCATGAAAGGTCATTAGTAAACAGGATTAAAGAGAATCCCAAGGCTTTTTATACATATATAAAAAGCAAGCGGGTAGCCAATGGAAGGGTTGCCCACTCATGGACAAAAGAGGGAATCTATGTGTGGAGCCAGAAGAGGCAGGTGAGGTCCTAAACAAGTACGTTGTATCAGTATTCACCAAAGAGGAGTTGGTGGAGAATGATCTCAGCGAAGGAAGTGTCGCGTTTCTAAGCAAATTTGCTATTAAAAAGGAAGAGGCGTTTTCCGTCTTAAAAAAGTATTAAGGTAGATAAGTCCCCGAGTCCTAATGGGATCTATCCCAGAATATTGAGGCAGGCAAGAGAAAAAATTGCTGGAGCATTGATAGACATCTTTGTATCCTCTTTGGCCACAGATGAAGTCCAGAGGACTGGAGAATAGCCAATGTTGTCCCATTCTTTAAGAATGATAGCAGGGATAATCTTGGAAGTTACAAACGAGTGAGTGTTATGTCAGTGGTAGGGAAATTATTGGAAAAGATTCTCAGGGACAAGATCAAAATGCATTTAGAAGCAAATGGACTTATTAGCGAAAGGCAGCATGGTTTTGTAAAGAGGAGGTCATGCCTCACTAATTTGATAGAGTTTTTTGAGGAGGTGACGAAGATGATTGATGAGGAAAGAGTGGTTTATTGTTGTCTGCATGGACTTCAATAAAGACTTTGACAAGGTCTCCCATGGCAGACTGGTACAAAAGGTGAAGTCATATGGTATTGGGTGAGCTGGCAAGATGGATACTTAACTGGCTTAGTCATAGGAGGCAGAGGGTAGCGATGGAAGGATACTTTTCAGACTAGAAGGTTCTGACTAATAATGTTCCACAAGGATCAGTGCTGGGACCTCTGCTGTTCATGGCCTACATGATGATTTGGAGAAAAATGTAGCTGGTCTAATTAGTGAGTTTGTGGACAATACAAAGATTGGTGGAGTTGCGGATAGTGAGGAAGTTTGTCAGAGGATACAACAGGATATGGATCACTTGGAAGCATGGGCAGAAAAATACAGATACAGTTTGATCCAGACAAATGTGAGGTGATGCATTTTGGCAAGTCAAGTACAGGTGGAAATTAGACAGTGAATGGCAGAACCCTTAGGAGTATTGATATGCAGAGGGATCTGGGTGTGCAGGCCCACATATCTCTGAAGGTAGCAGCACAGGTAGATAAGATCGTAAGAAAAAGGCTTCTGGCATGCTTGCCTTCATTGGAAGGGGCATTGAGTATAAGGATAGACAAGTCATGCTGCAGCTTTATAGAACTTTAGTTAGGACACACTTGGAATATTGCATACAGTTCTGGTCACCACACTATCAGGTGTTTTGGAGAGGGTACAGAAAAGGTTTACCAGGATGTTGCCTGGTATGGGGGATTTTACTTATGAAGAAATTTTGGATCGACTGGGTTTGTTTTCACTGGAATACAGGAGGTTGAGGGACAAACTAATAAGAAGTTTATAAGATTGTGAATGGCATTCATAGAGTGGAAAGAATGAGGCTTTTTCCCAGGGTGTAGGTGTCAATTACTAGGGGACCCAGGTTCAAGGTGCAAGAGGGTAGTTTAAAAGAGATGTGCGAGGTACGTTGTTCACACAAAGGGTGGTGAGTTCCTGGAATGCATTGCCAGAGAAGGTGGTGGAATCAGACACAACAGCAGCATTCAAGAAGGGCCTGGACAAATACATGAAGAAGAAAGGAATAGAGGGTTACAGATCCTATAAGTGAAGACAGCTTTAGTACGAAAGGGCAAAATGTGGCAGCACAGTCTTGGAGGGCTGAAGGGCCTATTCCTATGCTGTATTGTTCTTTGACATAGATGCACTTGAAATGCGGGAACATACAGGGCTATGGACAAACATCTGCAGAATAGGATCAGCCTGATAGTTCTGTTTCAGCCAACACAAATATGATCAGCCAAGTGAACTCAATCTGTGCTGTAACTTTCAGATGTTGTCATTCTGACCATTGGAGTTTGTTTCTGATGATGTTTATAACTTCCCCAATTGCACCAAAGTTTAATATTCCAGAGAAATATCAAATAAATCAGCTTTGTTTCAAACATGTCACTGTAGATTACTACCTGGAGCTCAGAAAGGACAATCTTGGGGAAGCAACAGAACTTCAGCCTGGACACATCCTTGATGGCCACACTGAGGGAGACAAATAGTACTTTGGTCTTTCTTGTCTTTCTTCTCTGACAGCAAAGACCTGGTATGGGTTAATCCTACGATGTGTAAGAAATGTGTCCCAGCCACTGTCTTCCATAGCTCATAGCTCCGAGACATGAAGTAGAATCTCGTTTCCAACTGGGGTTAGGGTCAGAGGAAGAACAACGGTGAATGCTGGAAATGTGTTTCAAATCAGAGATTAGTGATCTGTTCCTGACTGGAAATGAACCTGAGGATTTCGGTGTTCTCTACATTGGTAAAGATAAAAGTGTTTGGCAAACCAAGCTGAGCTTGAAATTATACTTCACCAAGAGTGTGACCAGTGGAGGAGGTTGACAAAATAGTAACTTTCATTTTTAAATAACTACATAGAAAGGTTTTGGAGTAGATTTGTAGCTCGGGTTGTGGGTGTTGAGGTTGGTTGGCTCGCCGAGCTAGTTTGTTGTTCTGCAGACGTTTCATTACCGTGCTTGGTAACATCCTCAGTGCAGCCTCTGATGAAGCATTGGTGTGTTTTCCCGCCTGGTTTTTAAACTCTGGGGTCCGTTGTGATGGATTGCCTCACTTCCGGGTTTCCTCCGTAGTGGAATGTATATGGGGT